GGACAACCACACGCGTGTGCACTCGCGCCTACACACTAACGGCTCTGTGAAGACGTAAGCTGACCTTGCGCTCCGCACCTCGCAACGCTGCGTCGGCGGAAAGTTAAAACGGAAATGGACACGATGCTTTTCTCTGCGCAAGTAACAATCGTATTGATAGTTGTTTCGTCTTCCCGGGGGATGATAGTTAACACCAACAGTGAACTTTACATTATACACAATGGTTAGATCAGAAATTGCTGCAGAAATTGCATTCAGCTGGAAATGTAATATGTTTGTTTAACTAAAGAAGAGGATGTTGAAGAAAAACATGTAAAGAGCTTGGCTTACGAGGTCCTAATCTCCTATGATGGTTTAGTCGCAGACGTTATTTCAATAATTCATTGCTAAAATGAGAAAACAGCTGTGCGAAGACATTCATCGATTCAGAAGCCAAAGTTAGCGAGATGCGTATAATTGGTAGAAGTTGGTCCGACATATAAAACATCACCCTTCAGTGCACTCGCTAGAATTTCAAATGGCTCTATAAACACTGACTCTAGTGAATGGAAAGGTAGTGTTCATGTTTAGAGTAACGTACTAAAGAAGGAATGTGTATTCAACAAGCAGAACTGGAGAATTCGATCACGCCAAAAATAACGATGAAAGCTAACTAAACAATATTACGACTCATCATAATATAAACTATGTTCGACATACAAAAATTAAGATCATGCATATCTGACCGCCTTCGCAATTGTAGAGTATTTTGCAGGAACACAAAGAATACCTTTCTACTGGAGCTGACGCATGGTGTGCAAGGGATCTAGTTACATGCAGTTGGAATTTCAAAGTAATCATGATAGGTAAACGCGGTAAGTTCGTAGTTAGTGACTATTCCTAAATGAAAATAAGGTTTCCTTTTTGAATTCAAATAAAAACATAATTTTGGCAGACTGGACAAATTACTTGCAGCAAATTTGTCTGGAATTTCATGCGTAATCTTTGTCGGTAGACGAGTGACAAAGAAGTGGGAGATAAATTCTTTTAAAATAAATAATTGAGAGTTTTGGGGAGGAAACACGATTATATGCTTTAAAAACTGTTGGTCGGTAAACGAATCTCTTAAAAGGCTGTATTGTAATAAAAAGAAAACAACGGAAAACTCATTTCACAATGTGTGGTAGAACTTTTGGGTAAGGTGTTTGGCCAGAAAATTATCCGATTCATACTGTTTCCGACGTATTTTGAAAGATTAGGAAGTAATATTTCAATTCTGTGCGAACACCAAACTTAAATAGTGGAGGAATTACTCTGAGTGCTAGTGAATGGTTCAATGCATACGTCTGGAGTAACGTCAAACACATCAGAAAGAAAAATAGTCCTTCTACGATACGTCTAATTCGCTCGCCGATTTGAGCATCACATTCGATCGTTGGATATCACTTACCTCGGCCCTCAGGCATATTTCATCCTCAATCATTGTTCCACATCCAACCTATGGCATAGCTTTCTCGAATGAGATTTCAAAAATATTGAAAGGTCCATCTCGTTAGACAACCTCTATATTTAAAGAAATGAGTCGTTCTGAATTTGTAGTAAAAGAAGCTGAAATCAGTGCATTATTCCAAATCGATTCTCAAGCGGTAAGATTAATATTAATATTGTGAAATAATGAAATGTTATCTGTTTTTACCAATTTGTTGTGTTGTGGTTTACGAAACGAAAAATTTATACGGAAATTTATACCTTTTTTCCTACCACTATCGCGTGCAACTTCACAGAGAACAGATGTTGAGTAAATTTGAACCATACTAATTTTTGCGTTAGAGTTCTGGTATAGATTTTAAATTAACGATCAAGGAAAATATCTTCATTTATACTTAAAAGTAAAAATAATCATTATTCGTTCAAGGTATCACTCTAGTTAAGAAATAAAGTTAACTTTATGAAGGTATACATAGTAAGTTTTCGTTATCTTTCGATTGTTGCACAACATCTAGACGATTACAGATAAACACCTGGGCAGGTAAATGCAACATTTGACTGCAATTCTCAGATAATACATTTGCGTAAAAAATATTATTATTATTATCTGCATTACAAAATTTTATGGTTTTCTTTCCACAGTTTTTGCGTTCTCGATTAAAATGCAAAAGGAAATAGCGGATTCGATCCAAACGGCATGTTACCAGTCCGGCGATGAAATATCCGAACTCGTGGCCAGTGTATTAGCCATCCAACACACATACATTATTGCATTTGTTTACTCTAAAGAACTCTCAAGCAGAAGGTTTGGTTGAAGCCATAGTATGTTTACTTATGAGTCTGTCGAACATAGGGGAATTAAGAATTGCGTACTGCAATGTAGACTGCAGTACTCTGTTGTTCGTCCAGAACAAGTCTCAGGGATCCAGTCACATATCGCCGATCATTAAAGAATGTTAAGGAACTCTTCATAGATTCATGCTTGTGGCGAATTTACCTCTTTCGACATTACATCACAAATTAATTCCAATTTAACGGGAAAAAATCATTATAACAGAATAAAACTTGCACCCCAAAACAGTGCAGAAGTATTCCTTACGACTAATTTATGAGCATGTGATAAGATTAATTAAATATATTGCCTGGCAAAATTTACGTACATATTTCCATTGTGTCGGTTACCTGGTTTATTTCCGCGCACTTTTACATCCAGACGAGAACACTGGACTGTCACCCTTTATCACACGATCTAGCTGCACATCCGCCGAGAAGACCTGCGGCGGGCACGTGACTGAACCTGCGAGGTTCTGCCAGCGCAGCTCTGCCTCCGCGGTGCCTCCGCCCTGCGCCCCCTGTCCTCAGACTGCCACGAGTGCGTTCGCGCCCGCGCTGGGATGACCAACTCCTCCGGGGAGAACACAACCTCTCGCCCGCCCCCCCCTCTCCCGCCGGGGCTCGCTCCACTCACCCCCTCCCCCCTCCTCGCCAACATGCGCCCCGCTGCGCATCCCCGTCCCCCCCGCCCCGCTCCTCTCGCTCCAACCACCCCTCCTCACCCCAAGCCCGCCCGCCCCGGGCCTCTTTCTGGCTGCCGCCTCCCGCGCCCACCCCGCCCCGCCCCGCCCCCTCGCGCCCTCTCCGCTCCACTCGGCTCGCACTCCGGCGCCGGGGCGCCCCCCGGCCCCGCCCCGCTCCACTCCGCGCCACCCCGCCCCGGCCCGCTCCGCTCGACTCCACTCCGCCCCGCCCGCCCTACTCGCGCCCCGCCCCGCTCCCGACTCGCCCCCCCGCGCTCCACTCCGCCCCGCCCGCTCACTCCGCCCCGCTCCAGACCCGCCCCGCCCCGCTCCACTCCGCCCGCCACCTCCCCGCTCACCCGCCGCCTCGCTCCACTCCGCCCCCTCCCCTCGCCCCGCTGTCGCTCGTCCGGGCCCCACACGCCGTTCGCCCCCGCACCTCCCCGCCAGACCCTCTTGCCTCGCTCCCGCCTTCCCGCTCTGCCATCCGCACGCGCGGGAAAGACACTCGGCCAGGGAAAAAATACTCCCGGTTATGGCAACTGCCTCCACCCAGCACGCCCACCGCCAGAACGCCAACGCCAACGCCACCAGGCGGACGGAGCGCCGCGGGTGGCAGCGGCCTGCAGGGAGAAAACGCAGATGCTGGTGGAGGCGGCGGGGCTAGGAGGGATGCAGGGCGGGCGAGCTGGGCGCCGCCTGCGAGGCGCGGGCGTCGTGAGGGCACAGATGCTTGCACTACGCGGGGTGGCCGGATGGGCAAGAGGTCTGGCCGGGTGAGAGGCCGAAGTGCGGGCGGCACCGCCGGGTGTGCGACTCCGTGTCTCACCCGCCGGCCCGCGGGACGATGAGACTTCGCCAAAGCTGCTTCGCGAACGCCCTAAATGGGCGAGGGTTTGGCGTTGCGTTGAGGTTCAGCACTGTTTGCAAAAGCTGGAACCTAGATTTATCAATATCACTAACCGGGTGTTGATAACTTGCTGATACGTTTTGGAAAATGTCCTATTTCTTCTCAAGAGAACTAGCCGGGAATGTCAATCGAAGTCAATCGTTTGTAATGCAGATCTCGATCTTGAGAACCACTCAGGATCCTAAGGGTGTTATATTCACGAAAGAGTGCCACGTTCCAACAATCAATACTTATATATATCATATTAAATAAATTATATTATATTTAACAACGGCCTAATGAACCACATCCAAGAAGCGAAATATAGTATAATGATTATATATATAGATATATATAGTATAGTATTAGGTAGTATAGTATAGAGTAGTGATATTATATATATATAGCGGGTATATTTCGTAGGATATACATAGAATCTCGGCTTGAAACGAATAAAGACCGGAATATGCATGAAAGTAATGAATGAAAAAGACTAGGAGACATTACATCTACTTAAAAGCGACGTTACGCGTTCTGTGACCGATCTGAACGCAACCCACTGTCCACTGAGATCATCCTCCTTTATGATTCTGAAACGAAATTATCCAATTTTTATCTCATCACCATCGCGAACTTTCCTCGCGCCGCAGACGTCCAGCGCGGGCAAAGGGCACGCGCATTTTGCGGCGGTGGTTGTTACTCTATCTCCGGCGGGCGTCGCAGACGGGGCGCGAGCGCGGGGGCGCGGGCGACGGCAGCGGCGGGTGCGGGTTGGCGACGTGGGAGCAAAGTGGAAAGCCACGGACGAAGGGGCGAGAGAAGTTTCTAGCCATGGGAGAAACCGCGGCCCCAGAGCGAGCACATGGTGGGCAAGTCCTTTGGGCAGTCCAGCCCAATGTGAGTACCGGGCTGAGAACGGGCAGATTGAGACAAACCCCCCCCCCCGCGCCCACGCAACATATGTTGTTGAATTACTCGTGGCGTTGTATTCAATGCATTGTCACTATATCTCC